CCCGATCTGAAGGGTGAATATTTCTGAAAATTTCCTTTCACCTCCCAGGTAGAAATTCAAATAAAACACTCGTTAAAAAGAGACATGAGGTATGTCAGACATACCTCACTGCTAAAACAGAAAATATATCACAGGCCTGTTTCTGTTGAGATTAATTAATGACATTTTAATAGCTCTCAGTTCTTAATATCTTCTGTTCGAGTATCAGTGTGAACTTTGCAGACATCCTGCAGACAGCCTTGCAACTGCCTCCTCACATCATGCTCCCTCCCAGGCTGCAAACTGAGGCACCAGGAGCATTTGCAAAGCAGCAGAGGTGCAGGTTGAACCCCTGAGGGTGACATCCCAAAGGCATCATTCCTTCCAAGCTGTAGGGCTGTCTCTAGTGCTCAGATGCTTGCTTTCATTCAGACCATGCTTTGTTAAAATGAAAGAACTGGAAAAGTTTCTGTATTTATCTTCACATTTCTACCTGGCCACCTGTGGTGGCAAGGCTACCTTTTGATTTTAGGTCAAAGGAAGGGGTTGCAGTGCTGCTTGCCCCCATGCTGGTTTCAGAAGCCTGGGTAAATCCTGCCCCTCATGGGAGTCATTTTGAGCATATTAAATAATGATTTTTCTATGTCTCTCCAACTTTGATGTAGCTTCCGAGGAGACAGAATTATCTTGGGTATTTGGTTTGGTTACATTTTAACAATTTGATGATCTCTTCAAAATCCTTCCATTAAATCTAAGTTGTTTTTTAAAAAAGGAACTTCTGCACTTTAGCTCAATTGATAAGGGGCCCTGTCCCCCACAAATTATAATGCAGCAAATTTTTGAACATATACTTCAAATTCACAATTAGTTTCTTATTTTTAAAGCTATTTTTTATCATTTGATTAATTGCTTAAAAGTGTACACCAAGATAAAGGGAACTTTGAAATTCATACCTCGGAGTATTAACATGTACTCAGGACTAGATGTAAATGTCAGAGAGAAAAAAGATCTAATGAACTCTTTATTGGTGAAATACTGTCTTGCAGCTGCCTAGAATTTTAAAGGGTTTGTAGCTAACTCCAAAGCAAAATAACTACAGAAGTTTACTTACAGCATGGCCTCTCATTCAGCATTTCTAGTGTCTCTTTCCAGGGTGGATGGAAGCCATTTGTTTTGCTAGAAGTTGCAGCTACTTCATTTTTTTTGAAGTTCAGTGGATCCTTTTAATGTTAGCAAAGTGTCCAGATAAAAAAATGCAACTACAGAAGTATTTTTCTGCCTAGAAAATTACACGACCATAAGTTTTCCTTTTCCCTGATGCCTTCTCTGCCATAATAATGGCTTCAGGATTAAAATCCTTTGCTGCTATTGTGACTTCAAAGCCTTAAAATGGCAGTTGAATGAAGTAGTTCATCTGTCATTATTCAAATATGAAGTAATTATGATAAAATAAAGATAGAATTCCATTGAGAAATACCCCAATCAATTCTCACTTATATTTAACTAGAAACATAAAACGATGCTTCGAAGAGTAAGGGGAGGTAACAAAAACTTGGAATATAAAAAGCATGAATTACTGATCTATAACTTAGTCATTTCTGAATAAGCTTTCTAAATATATTTCACAAATATTGACAAAAGTTTAAGCTTACGATGCAAAAGTGCCTCTCAGCTGGTCATAGAGAGTGAATAGCTTTTTAGGGACACATTTTCATCAGTTTGGGTGCTCCGAGGTTCAGCTGGGAACCTACTGAGATTTTTAAGGGCCTCTGAGCACATCAGCTCCCTCTGAAACACGTGAGATCTGGAAGAAGTGGGTTTTATAAGTGAGTATATGAAATAACAGTCTTACCTTGGCCATGTCTTGGTAAGTCTTACCTTGGTCATTGATTGCAGCCACTGCTGTGATGTGTGCACATCCCTTCAGGCCCCTCTCTGCACATTTAGCCCCAGATGCTTATTTTCACCTTTCTGAACACAACCAAGGCCCAGCCCTACCCCTGGGGCTAGAATTCCCACCTGTACCCAGTTGTATGTGGGTACATGACCATAACATATTATAACATAGGTTAAAAAGTTAGCCATTTTCATGATCTTCCATCTTTCCTTTCCCCTTTCATCTTTTTTCCTTGCCCTGCTGCTAAAAGGAATGCAAGGTGGATTCTGCAGTAGTCAGCCCAAGGGCTCCCTGCCTTTTGCATCCTCAGTTCAACTGTGTCATGTCCTTCCCATTGAAAACCTCAGATGAGAAAATAACTGTATGCCAGGCTTTTTTGTCATTCATAATCTCCTCTTCTTTTGGAAAATAAATACATCTTTTACTGTTTATAGAAGAGGACTTTGTCTTCCCTTTAATTCTTCTTACAGCAAAACAACATAAAAAATGCACAAGTGGATTCTATAGAATTTTCCTCTCATGTTTTCCACAACTACAGTGTGTTTATGAAATCTTACACTATTAAATTGTGCTGTGCTGGGAAAGACCACATACCAAGCATCTACATATTCACATATCCTTCATTTTGTAGGCATTTTATCACTCTACCTGGGTATCAATTTTCTGTCATCTGCAGACACTCATGTCTTGCAATTTCATTTCAAAAATCTAATTTCTTCAGACAATCCAAGAACTAAATGTTATCACAATCAGAATGCAGTCATACTTAATACTGAATTTTAAATCAGAGATGTAACTAGCAAGAAGCATTCAGGGTATATACAATTAATTATTTCACACATAATTATTCCTGATATTACTCTAACTGTGATAACTTAGAACATTTGAAAAAGCAGACTGTAATATTCTTTTTTCTTCTTTTTTTTTTTTTTTTTTTTTTTTCCACAGAAGCTCATTCACTTGATATTCTCTCACTAAATAATATGTAAAATACTGACACCTAATGTTAACTTTCAGTATTATTCATTTTGCAAAACTTTTACCACAAAAAGAGAAAAAATATGTGAAACTAGTGCTTACGGTGTAGTTTTGGTTCAGTAAAATGTGACACAGACTTTCCTTAGCTTTTGGAAATAATTTTCTGAATTCATATATATGACTATAAAAGCAAAGGTTCACGTTTATCTTCACAGCTCACAGGTAAACAAGAAAGAAAAAGTTGAAATAACTGATGTTTGGCACACTGAATTTAATCAAATCCATGAAATAGAACACAAATGCTTATTTATAAAATCAATATTTGTACCTGTAGCCTGAAGTGTTACTAAAAGACAAAATACTATTAAACATTTGTCGATAACTTATCTTTTAAACCCTGGACTGTAAAGCATCAGTAAGTACTCTACTTGCCCCACTTGATTCACTCTTTTCAACAAAGACAAAAGTTCTTTTCACAGTTTGTGAATTTAAAGCAGATGCCAAACAGTGACCTCAAAATTCACCATTTATCATCTCCCTGTAACTTCCCAAACAGCTCCTCCAAACCTGATGTCTATCTGTTATTTAGAAAAAGATTTTGAGGTCTTTACTCTTCCCGAGTTTACCAAGGTCCAGCTAATACCAACACAACACATTTTATAGTATGACCTAGCATTGTATCTGGATTTATAAGAAAGGTCATTTTCTAAGATGGTGCCACCTGACAGATGAAAGTAGCTGTCCTGCAGATGCAAGGATAAAAATAAAACAACAGCCACTGAAATTCAGATACTTGGTCTGCTATACCATGACGCAGTCTCAGCTAAATTAAAGAGCAATGACATCAACATAATCAAAACCCCTTGAGTGAGCCAGAGCTTTCCAACTGATTAAGACTCCTGTGCTATTTTTTATGACAACATTCTTAGTTTCAGAAGCTGTTCTTACCCTTCCCAGGTTCTAAAAATACCAACAGATGTTTTTATTTGCAGTTCTTTCAACTTTTCCCTACCCATTGCAACCAATGAAGTAGGTATTATTGCAGAGATTTTAAAGCTACCCATTTTTTAGAAATTTTTGAGCACAGGCAGAGACTGTGAATGCCCTTGTGTTTCCCTGTACAGCAGATGCTCAAAGAGTGCAAAAATTTCAACCAGGAAAAATGCCCTTGAGCCATTGGATTGGAGTAGTCCTCCCTTCTTCCCCCAAATCCTTTCTCACCCTGGAGAACAAAAAGTTCTACCAGAAGACATTTTCTAAGTGTTTCATACCAAAACTCAGACACATTGAGTACCATCAGAGAGTGGTACTCTTCATCAGAGAGGAGGTTTCAGCTGAATCTTGAAAGAGTTTGGGTTAAATAGCTACAAACTTAGAGGTTTAGTTGCCATCCACGCCAAGGTGTTATTTATGTCTTAAAACAACAGGGGGTAAAGTGTTGGTTAAATGTAAGCAGTTTTTCTTCATTGCTTTCAGCCCTCTAGTGAAAGCCTCTAAAAATCTAGGCCACACTAAGTTAACAAGAGGATATTTGGCTGCTTCTAAAGCAGTTCAGAGTTCATTGTCTCTAATCCAAAAGAAGGCCTGTTAAGACCTCAGTAAGTGCTCACACAGCCCTTCACTCTGGCTTACGCACACTGAAAATTGTTCTCAGCTTTCTCAAGCCTATCATCTCCAGGATGACAAGCTAGAGAAAGATAAAGTTTTGTTTCAGCCAACTGTGTCACACCAAAGAAGGTATCTGCAATGTAAATTCATTCTTCAATTAAATCATTAATTAAATGAGAATTTCAAAATGTTGGGCCCTTTGAAAAATCCAGTATGCAGCAGTTAACAGTTTTTAAACAACTAATTGTTCAACTTCTACTTTTCAAGTATACCATGTACTTGAAATAGAATTGATAAATTAAAAATGTAAATTGGGCTGTATCTTTTAACTGTTGGTGATTTGTCTGTTTCTCACTCTTTATTATGCATCATTTTTATAATAAAGAAGGGATTTTTTTTTTCCATTCCTGTTCTAGTTGATAGCAATTCTTCCATGCTTCTCCAAGTTAATGCAATGAAACTACATAAAATGTTTAAGAAAAGCCCCATTAAAATATACAAAGCATACTAATTCATGAAGTCAAAGTCAAAGCAGAGTGGAAATATGAGCTTTAATAAAACTATGTCTGTTGTAAATAACTATTCAAGCACAGTCATTTTTTTGCAAATTGCATGGGCTATAGCTCAGCCTAGTCAAAGTAAAGAATCGCTCAGCGGGATAAATGCATCTTAGTCAGAAATAGATTAAAAGATACAGCTGAGCCATCAATAAGAACCAGATAGTGCAGTATTGTTTGCTGTTTGTTTTGAAGATGTAATTGCAGATCCCAGGATTTCAATAAATCTGTGCACATCACGGAAAGAATTGTAGAGAGGAACTGGGGCAATGCGAAGAGCGTTTGGTTCTCGCATGTCACACTGCAAAACAGAAAGGGAACGCTCAGTAAATTCAGGTCACTTCACATTTATCTGTCAGAATATGTTTAGAAATGTTATCCTTGTCTTCAAGGAAGAATGACTGGACTGACAAGGGGAGATATGTAAAAAGCTTTGGGACCCCAAAAAACTGCTGTGAGGAGCCTTATTGTCAAGAACATAGCAAGAAGAGTAGTGTGTAGCCTGAACAAAGGTGCAAGGCTGAGGATGGGAAGGACTCCAGAAGTGCCACTGAGGGTTTCCAAACCAGCTATTCAGCCCCACCATTACCCTTAGTGCCTACAGAAACCCATAGGTGAAGAGGCACACAGGTGACAAAAAAGCCACCACAAAACAGAAACATGCCAGCATGATACTACAGCTACCAGTAATGTTGCAGGGCTTGCAGAATTTTTCTCCCTCCCCTCTGTGAATCTGAACATTTTGCTGAACAGAATAATCCCTCATCTTTGAAACACATTACTGCATCTCAAAGGCAAGCCAACACTGTAAGGCCCCATGCTCTCTTAAAAGCAGCAGTTCCTGGAATTCCCTGGCAGCACCAAAGCAGCAGCATATTTAACCTAGAAGAGATGCTCTTTGGGGACAGAAGCAGAAATAAAACTTGTATATAATTTATATAGCATTATCCTATCAGCCTCACCTCCCAGCACTCCTGCATCACCAAATGTATAGCCTTAAATTTGGCTTTTATTCTTTTTTTGAGCAGTGCTCACTGGTAATGGTGTCCCTTCTCCTGACTGCTAAAATATGCCTCTGAGGGAAAGATACCTTTTTATTTTTCTACCTTGATGCCTTACAAGGAGGGAAGGTTTGGCCATTTGCAGACCATGGAAGGGGCTGGTGGATGTTCAGAACAGCTTGTCACCATCGGGCTCTGGTGTTGAGGATGGTGAGCACTGCTGGCTGCCAGCAACCTGGGGTGGCACAGACCTCCTCTGGGTGGTCCCTGGCCTCATGCCTGGACCCACTGGAGGGGATCTGGACAACCACACCAAACAAGAGAGACCTGTGCAGGCAGTGCATTGCACTAGACAGCTCTAATATCCTCATTTTTATTATTATTATTTTTTTTCCCCAGTGTTTTGTTGTTGCTGTTCATTTACTTTCTTCTTTTTCTTTTTCCTGTCTTTCCTCTTTAGACCATGAGCTTCACATCCATAACACCTCCCACCATAACACACCCATAAAGCAGCTCTAATCTTAAACGTGACTACTGGGTGCTACTCACAGAACTACTAGAAATAAATCAATAGAGAAAGGACAATCTACAGTCTAATAAATTCTTCATAAAATAACTCTGCTCATTAGATTTACAAGTGAACACTACTTATTAGACTGAAGATGCTATGGAAGCAATATTCATTATTCTCAGTATTTTTTTAGCTTGATATGAGACTATTTGAATAAAAGCACAATTACTACTTTGTTATCATATAGGTTCACAAAACAGTACATAGTAAGATGAAGTTTGATTTACTCACAGCTACTCCTCTCTTCTCCAGCTCTTTAAACACAGACTTGATTGGAAGGGAAAAAGACAGTGTGAGCTGGCATCCTCTTTCCTCAATCTGAGATGGTGTGATTATTTTTACAAAGGGCTTCTCTGGATTTGTTTTATCCTCACTGTAGTAATGTTTTATCAAGTATTCCAAGTAACCAGTGAGTAGAATGGATTTCCTTCTCAGTGCTTTCATGGTAGTTTGACCAAAAACCTATAAGGATTTTAAATCATTAGAATGATAATGCACTGCTGTAGAAAATAAAAAAGAAGCAAAGAAGATTGAAAGGGAAGCAGATTCCTTTATACATTATCAATGGACTCAAGTGGTAGTATCAGACATTATACCTAAACATAGCAGGATTGGTCTTCTGAAAATACAGGATAATGTTATTTGCTTAGATAATAGAAGACATTTCTCTCTACTGTTAAAGTTTTACATTCATCTATATGGGCATAAATGAATTTGCACACAAAACCAGTCTGCTAAGAGAGGATTCATCTGCATACCTGATACATTCTCTATATGTGCAAGAGGGCTGCATGAAACTCAAAATCACATACAAGTGTTTTCTTGTCTGTACCTCAAGTAAAAAAAGTCAAGGATCAAGACTGAAACATCACAACTGATCTATAAACCCTTGTTTCTGAAAGCACAACATTTGTACTAACATTCTGACTTCAACGTTTTAAAGTCCTGTACAAGCAGCGTTGCAGGTTCTGTGCTCTGCTAGTCCACAAGAAGGAAAGATATTTGTTTGATTCTCGTGTAAGTGGTCTGTGCCTTTGCACAACTGCAAGGACTGGTGAGCTGCAAAAACTCAAAACATCATGAGACATATAAAAGTGATTTCTTAAAAATGGCAGGGCTACTTTGCCATCTAGCCAAGAACAAACAATGTAGAAGAAGAGTTTGGACACAATAGGGTAAGAGATCTTCTGCTTATGCTCTGGAAAGACTCAGAAGGAGTCACACAGAAGGAAAGAAAATGTGGCCCTGGAAACAATTCACCCCTGCCTTCTGCAAACTTATTCTTTTTCAGGGAAAAATGACAAGATATAGACACCCAGTTACTTAGTAGTCCCTTCAAATCAGATTCTGTCCCATACATTCAATATTGCTGCCCATGGACAATCATGCCTCCACTGACTGCAGATGCAACATCAGAGGTGGTGGCCCTGCATGGAAATCCATGCTTGTTACTCACAAGAAATCACTGCTCCATTTTGAAGGAGTAACACTTTTAAGGTGACTTGTATCAACACCTGAAAGTGTGTATAAAGAGGTAACCGAAGAATCCCACCCAAAACACAAGGTCAGGTTTCCAGCAGCATCCAGAAATCACTCTTTTGTAGAAAATGCCAAATATTGCTTCATGCTGCTCTCACAACCACTAGATGCTACACAAAACCAAAAGCCCCTACGTGTTCTTTCTGCAAGACAGAACATGGCTGCTGTGAGACAGGCTCTGCAGGCAGACTGTGCAGTCACAGAAATAAATGTGACAAGGACCAGAGCCACCAGCAGGCAGTACTTGCCCCCAAAAATCTAGAGATGCTTTCCCCACCAGGCAGGCAAGCAGAGGGGACACTAATGGAGGTAAAATGGCGACTTGCCTCCTTCTGGGCTTTGCAGCAGTATGAGGGATGGATCTCCTTGGGTTGCACGCAAAAATCTGTTTGCTCAGGCTTTGTGCAAGGAATATTTGGCCTCCTGGGTGAAATTATGGGAAAAGATCTTTAAAATGTGGCTGTCGAGCGCTCCCCTTTTTTCCATAAAAGGGAGCAGCAACTGCCATAACAGTCACTTTAAGCATTATTGAGGAATAACATGCATTAACACTTGCAGTTTTCATTGTTTCCATTGGAAACACTGCCTTCTGTTTAATGTGTCCCAGTGAAGGTGGCATGCAATTTCACTAGCCATCTCTTGCCAGACATGAAAACTATTTTGTTTCCCACTGTATTAGAGCAATTAGCACTGGGAAATCCTGGCTGTGCCAAAAGGTAATGCAGGCATGGGAAGGGGAGGCGATGGAAACTGCTCAGCCCTCATTGTTCGAGGCTCCCTGCAGTGGGCTAAATGACATCAACCCACACAAACTGGAGCACTGACAATCTGGGTCATAGCAGAACAGCTTTCAGCTTATCTCGAAGGTCACATAAAGTTTAAAAAAATATAGTGGATGTTTAAGGACTGGCAAAGTAAATTGTCAGGCAGGACAAGAAGCATTGCCGTGCCCTTTGCAGTCCTTCAGCATCACGTGTAAGCTGGAAAGAGCACAACTGGCAAGCCTCTGAATTTGTTTGCTTAAGATACTGGTTTTTTTCAGAAAATAAAGAAGAGGGATGTACAGCATATGGACATTGTTCTTTGTTCCAGCATCAGCTTTGCCATCACACCAGCTTTACTGGAATCCTAGCAGCCTCCCATTTATACTGATGGCAAAATCTTGTTAAGCGAGGCTGGTTTGGAAAATGTTAATGTAGTAGCATATGTAGCATGTATTAAGGAAATCTATGTAAAACCATCCTTTCTGGCCACCAAGATCTGGAGTCCCTCGCTTCAGGAATGAACCATCCATAAGAGAAATGCTGCTGTCTCAATGTGAAACACAGTGCAGTACATGCTGCTTTGAGGACACCTGCATGCCTTCAGACAGAGCTGAATTTTGCCCCCCGAGGAGGACCAGAGGGCTTTCAGCTCATGGGTCACCCCTTCCTAGCCAGGAAGGGATCAGCTGTGGATGGAAGGAATGCACTTTCCACAGCCACAATCTCAAGGATTCATTCAAAGATGGGACAGAGATGGGGCTTTGCTACTTTGGCCACCAAAAAAACTAATGAAGAGCAGCAGATGACAGGTTCCTTGAGAAACTGCTTCAATTCAGACTCCAGGACACCAAGTGACCTCATCCATTTTCCTCCATAGAGGAGCTAAGGCTGTTTTACCCAGGGAAGTACATGCAGAAGCAACTCTGGATGCACGTTTTTAGAGTTACATGATTCCTTCCTAGAAGGTTCTCTAATAGCATCCTTTCCACGAGTTGCACCAAGGTGAGCCCTGAATGTCTTTATGGGAAAAGCCACCATTCATGTCGAGCTCCAAAAAACCAGGACACAATACCAGGAGTCAAGCTCAGAGGTGCAAATCTCAGGTTTCCTGAGTCCAACAGCAAAGTTTGTGAGAATAGTGAAGGGATGAGACATTTACAAAAGGCCTTGGTCTCTCAGGATTGTGGGGTTGCTTATTTTTCATTTCTCCCCTTCCTTTGCTTTTTAGCTATTTTCCTTCTTTTTTTTTTTTTTTTTCTTTTTAAGGGAAACAGTAATAATATGCATAATAGTAATTTAATATTTTTATACTCTTAAATTATGGCTCAAAGTAAAGCAATTACTTACCTCTAAACTAGCCTGCAGAGCACAAACCAGTAAAATTGGAGGATTCGATAACCGAAATCCATTAATTCCTTCACTTAGTTGCAATTCTGGAAAATGAATAACTTATATTAGTGTTGTTGATTTCTTCCATTTAATGAATTGGACCTTATCTTGAAGTCTGTCCTCATGCAATAAAATATTTCCCTAATGTGGCCTGTGGGCATCAGTCATTAAAAGGAAATAGTAATCTAGTCACAGCTAATACTTTTAACTTAGAGAGATGCCCAATTTTATCCAGCAGACTTCATTAGTGGCTTCATGGGAACTAGAGAACTGCAATTAATTTGTTTAAATGGTGTGTGTTAAAACCACCTTTACACTTCAATCTCCTTTCACACTGGCATAAACCAGAGAAATTCCAAGTCAGCAGAGGCCTATTCCTGCAGAGCTGTGGTGCTGCCACGAGCAGGGAATCATGTTCCTTAACTTTATTAAAGTGACGAGACACGTGGGAGACCACATATGCAGCTAAGTGTAGCTTCAGGCCACACAGGGAAGTTGCACTGACTTTAGGCTGTGAAATTTCACAAAAATCTATTTAATAAGTCTGTAAAACCTTGCTGTAAGTTCTGTGTCACTGTTTATATTTCATGCTTCAGCACCAGAGCAAGAGGATGCTGTGGAGGAAATGCTCTTCATGCACTGCAGACTGGCTCATTTTCTAATGATTGTTGCCCAACTTCACCCCTATAAACTGCCCATGGAAATGAAGAAACATTTTTTTCCTCTTCTAACAGTATTTCAAGGCAATTTGTGTCTCCTGCTGGCTTTCCATAGTGCCACTCTCTTACATTTGGTCAGAAAACAAAGAGCAGACTGAGGCTATTAGGGATGCGTTCTCTAGCCAAAGTCACATCAATAGGTGCTGCCAGAAAATTAAAAATATATTAAAGAAAACCTCAACCAATCAAGCCAAAAAGCTCCTTTCTCCTCCTGGTCCCTCAGGATACTCTCTCTGCCATCCTTTAAAATGAAGCTGAACAGTCTAGCTATCAGATTTGGAAAGGAGTCCTCCTCTCATATCAGGACAATAAATATTTACTGTTTCAGAGCAGGTTTGGTTTTGTGTCATAACCCTTCCTGTGCCTAGTGCAAAGGGTTTGGAGAGGAGAAATTAGTGGTATTTCATGACTTATGTCACATTGCCTTACCTCTATTTATATAATTTCTCACTAATTCCAGTGGAACTAATCCTAAAGTAAGATATTACCAAGTGAATCATAGCAGATCCTCGCACCTCAGAGACTTCCATGATTAATTCACTGAGATACTTTGAAACTTTCATCTATATTCTACATCTGCATTTTGAAGGTATTTCAGCAAAATACCTAGAAGCAGACAGTCAGACCCATATGCCCAGAAATGAAATTTATTCCCACATTTAATTCATCAACTCCATTGCATTCAGCATGAGTTTAGCTTAATACCTTGAACGCAAGTGAGGAAATGCAAAGTTCTACCCTTTCTACTCAAACTACTATGAAAGTGAAGCAGATTAGACAGAAATACATCAAATAAGGTAAAAGTGGAGGTGTAAAAATACATACTGTTTTCCATGAGGAATCGTGATTTGAAGTCATGACCCCACCAGCCAATTAGCCTAAGAGTTTGTAAAGAAAATAAATTATTAGCAATCTTGGAATGATGATGTTTTAATTTATATTTGAGAGTTCAGAAATATATAAGCAAGGTTAAGAAGTATATACATTTCTTAGAGTGTATTTCTAACAATGACATTAAAATACAATAAATTACATAAATACCTAGCTCTAAAAAATAATATTACTATTTGAGAATTTCTCTTTAACTACTGATGATAAAATGTGCCACATCTTTCAATTAAATATTGATTCCTAACAATATCCATTTTGCCTGAATTAGTTCAATTTTTTTTAAAATAGAAATATTTCCACTCTTTTATTCCAAGGTATTAAATTCAACCCACCTGCTACGCTTAAGTTTAATGAGTACTGAAAGCTAAAATGTCTTATAAAATCTGACTTAGTTTCACTAAGCAAAGGAGCTGGTGATGGATACAGGCAGAGAGCAGGGTCCTAGGCATTGTCTTTTCCTTCCTGTGAGGCAGCAAAGTGAACTCTCAGTAAACTTCTCCTGAACTGAACTTAGGACAAAATCTTTCTTTAAAGTAAAAGCCAAAATACTAAAGCAGTTTAACCCCCAAATCAGGTTTTTAGATCATCTAAATAAATAAATATTCAAGATCAATTACTTTGAATATAATTTATCCAAGCTTTTAAACTAGGATGATGTTACGTTATCAACATTTTTATATTTTCTGAAAAATATGCTCAAGGATATAGCTATAAGCAGTTTCCAAAGTAGTAGTCAACACTACAAAATCAAGGAGTCTCTCCTCACCTCCCTCAGGTTCTGTACTTCTTAACTCCCTATCTGGTAATATCATTGATCAAAAACATCAGCACCACTTGCAATTTCCTATGTACCAAGGCTATTATCATATCAGTCAGCGCCTTAGAAGGTCAGGAAAGAACCTGTGGCCTCCAGGACTTGCCATATTGGACATCACTTCTTCCAAGGCTTTGCTCAGTGCTCTCTATACCAGGTAGCAGAATTGTTAGGAAGGAAGCCTGGCAACTGTTCAGAATTTGGAATAGTAAAAAAAAAAAAATCTATAGGTAAAGCCCATGGTAGATCAGCCTTCCTGGAAGTGAAAAAGGAAAAAGAAAGGCATTGCCCCTCTCTAAAGCTGGAGGACTTCTTTGCAGTATGCTTAAAAGAGCTTAGCTCTGCAGAATTAAGACCACATTTGAGTTAAGGATCTGCTCTATGAGTACCATTACAGCATGGTGTAAAATAAGGTACTTCATATTTCTCTGTAACAATATAGGTTTTATGTCTACTTCTACGAAAGGCTCCAAGCTGTATCCAAACATAGTGTACACAGGAAAAAGCTTTATTGCTGCAGGATGTTTTTATTATTGCAAGACCCATGAAAATCAATAGTGCAATATACATTCATTTCAAATGAGATACTACGTTGCCAAAATGAATATATCCCAAATAAACTATAATGCATCTTCCACCCAAGCAACTCAGTTACTGATGCTTTGGATCATAAAAGGTATTCCAGCTATTCCATATGAACTGTATAACATATACAGAATGTTTTACTATGAAACCTGCATATTGTGTGATACTATACTATGCTACTAATGTCAATGGCAAACAACACTGTATGAATTTCAACATTTTTTAACAGAAAAAAAAAAAAAAACACAATCCATGGGAAGTGTAACACTTGGACTATTACTCTGTAGGAAGGAGAAAACAAAACTACGTTCTGTTTGGACCACATCCTAAAGCCAGAGACAAAACAAACATGAGCCAGAGCATTACCAGGATAGGGGGCCTGAATGAAAAGGACTCTGGTTGAATTTTCAATGATCAAAACTTGCTAACTCTGAAACTGGCTCAAAACCAGTCCTCTGCTGCAGCTCCACGTCTGCAACTTGGAAAATGAAATTTCAGAACTTAAAAAAAAAATAAATCCTTCATTCTGTCATTTTGGAAGAGACAGTTTTAGCTCTCTTGCCCTTTCTTACCACAACTTTGACAATTTTCTTTTTCTTTCTCTTCTTCCCCCCCTCTTTGGATGTTCTAGAACTTCAGAAGTGTCACTAAGGGACGTGCACTTTGAAGCAGCTCTGATCCTTACACTCTCATTGATCTAATGGTCCATATGGATGTCATTATTTGACATTTAAGTTGACAGGCTTCAAAGTGTGGAAACTAACAAAATCTTTACAAATCAGCGATTGCTGTTTACAATTTTCTGTGAAATTTTTTGAAATGAGGGTTGCCACTGCTATGCCAAATTTCAACCTGTTAGGATGGGGAAAAGCGAAGGTGTTAAACCCCAAACATAAGGCTTTATAAATGCTCGCTAAAAATAATAGGCAATAAAGCTGCACATTAAGATACTGCAGTAAAATTCCTTAGTAAAGAGCTGTTACTCTGCATGCAAAACGAGTATTTTTGAAACGCAGTCTCCATTTTGACTATTCCTGCTTCAAAACACAAAGGCACCAAGATCTAAATTGATTTGGAATTCCAAAGTCTAACCTTTGCAAAATGCATGATGTGGAAGGCTCTGAAAAGCCTTGTAGGACGTGCTCGTGTTTAAAAACACCTCAGACTTGTTGGTAACTGGACTCTAGAGTTGCATCCTTTTCAACGGAGATAAAACCCATTTTGCAAAGTGTGCAAAGACTGGGGAGAAAAGGGTCTAATTTCACAAACTTTCCGCCACAAACCTTTGAGAAGAAGTTTTACTGGTGACTGCATCTGCATGTAAATGTGTCCAAACTGAGCACTTGTCTCCTTTTAGCACAGCACTCATTAAAATGGTTACCCCACCTGCCAGTCCCAAGCATTTCCAGCAAGGAGCTCCTGGAGCACCTCTACAGCTAACCTCTCTCCATCCAACAGCAAAACAAACATGAAATCCATTACAATGGATTTAATCTCTGAAAAGGAGACTAAATTAGTGACAGCCTAGCTGTGGTTATTTCTGTGAGGGGTGCATGTTCTCACAAACCCATTTTTATGATGAATTTTAAAATAAGTAACACATTATTCTATTTTATCCCTCAATTTAAAGCCTGTTCCTCATGGTTTTACAGCACTGATACTTTCCCAGGGAATTCTGCAGCTTTCCAGTCTACGCACAGAACTAGTTTTTAAATGTGACTGGTTTCAAAATTTGATGCAAACTCTTACTAGCTCAGTTTCATGAAACACGTAGGCATATAATAAAATATTGCTGAAAGGTTTTCAAGTTCCTTATTTTAACCCCAAAACATTTTCTTATTCAACAAATCAATGAAGAAAGATTTGCTGGGTTGAAAAATGACTCCAGAAAGGAGTAATATCCTCTCATTTAGTCAAACTCCCTTTAAGTGCCTTTACACGAGGGAACAATCCCTTCAATAAGTATTTTTATTTAGCTCGTTTTCCTCCTTCATATCTGTCTGAGTTAGACTGAAGTGCTGGTTGTTCTTAACTTGAGCTGTATCGTTTGTAGTTGCATTAATGATGCAAGAGTGCAGGATATAATGATCATGATGTATGTGCAGTGTAAACATCAAAGAAGATCCAGTTAAAGAACATAGAGAAAATACCAAAAAAATTCCTTTGACCTTTGCTTCGAAGTTACAGATGATCATGCGACTCATTTATAATTTACAGCCTGGAGCAACATGGGTCTCATTTCCCTTCTCAGCAAGGGGAAAAAAAAAACCACAACAAAAAACCTCTTGAGATGTGATACAGAAAACAGGGAAATATTATTATGATTCAACTTTTGTATTCCAGGGCAATGCACTGGAAGTATCCTGTCATTGTACTGTGTGAGAAATCATCTTACATCCATGAGAAAGCACATTGAAGAGCTACAACAGGAATGTGGTGTGAAATTAGTAATGTGCTGTGTTACATTTGCACAGTTCACTGGGCATGGAACAGTGTGTCTTCCCTCCCTTGTCAGGTCACGAAGCTATCTGAAATTTCATATTCATTACTTAGATTATATCTGTATTAGGAGTGTATACCAGCAAAGCATGCTATGTTTATGAAACCATAGGGCAAGCTAAATCATACAAGGGCAGTTTTAGGGCAGAGTCCACAAAGCAGATGATGTAGCTCAGCTCTTCATGCCCACATCACTTTACCCCTGCAAAAAACTCCCAGGTGTTGGCAGAAATTCTTTTGAGTTTTCATGCTCCTGTTCTAACTCTGAGGAAGAACCAGCTTTGAAGAGTTAATGAGACGTCTCCCTGCTCCTCAAGTTTATTACACAGAACTCGGGCAGATGTTGGGCCATGTTCACAAAGGCAACTTTACACAGGAGAGGGAATGGAATGAAATTAAATGGAGCGCATCCGAAGCACATCCATGCCCTCGGCTTATGTCTCTCAGCAGCTTTAAGACCTATAACAGACAACCAAGAGGCACAGTACAGTTTGACAGAGGCTTAGAGAACAGAGGTTAACTGTGTCTCCAATATCACTTATTAGCAGGAAATGTGTTAAATAAACAATACATTAGGTCTGCAAAAGGACAGAGAAAGCCTAGAGGCTGGAGCCAGCCTGAAGCTCAGAACTAAGTCTCACCTCAGCCACAGTGATTTGATCATGTTTGACCACTTCACCACAGAATCACCTTGGTTAGAAATGGCCTTCAAGATCATCAAGTCCAACCATCAACCTAACACTGACAAGTCCTTAACTAATCCATAACCCTAAGTACTGTGCCTATACAACTTTTAAATATGCTTATCCTGGTGCCTAGGAAAATGAGGTGGTACCAAACTGGACCACTGGCACCACAGCCAGACTCCAGCTCTGCCCAACTTTCATGTTTCAAAAGGCAAGTTAAAAATAATAATAGATGGTGCAGCCAGTTCATAAAGACCAAAAGTATTCCTTAACATGCCTTAAATCCATGTGAATCTCCAGCTCAGCTGACAGTTCCAGACCCTGAAGTACATTCCTCCCGTGTTCTGAACTCCACATAATATAATACAGATAGAAAAAGTAGCCAGGATCATCTCCTAATGCT